TTTCGTTTTTACAATCGCACCGCCCGCCACCGGAGTAGAGTTTATCCATACTACCTGGAGCCACTGCGGTCATCCACACTGCGTTTCCAGAGATCATTTTTGCCACGTACGATCCGGCTTTGGTATGATGATCCCCTCCACGGTGTTTCCCAAACGCTATGACACGTCCTTCTTCAAGAGAGGCTTGTGGAGAGTATTAAGCGGTAGGCAGTGGCTTGGTGCTGCCCCTGGCATTGCTGACGTCCATGAGCGTCGGTAACCACTTACCAATAGGTGGGCTGTATGCTCGTCTTCCTGCTCGGGCAACAACAAAATAAAAATGGGTTTTCAAGATTTGTTTTCGCTTATTTCACTCATGGGGTGTCATGCGAGCACCGGTTGCTACCTGTCAGCTTACAAGTGCTTACAGTTACCCATAGACATAACAGACATGAGCTTTCTTTTGTATTGAATAACGATGCACGACAAATAGTATTAACGTAGGTTGTGCAGACTCTGGATACCTCTTACTACCGGTCGGATCATCTATTTAATTCAAACTTAACGTTAGAATACTTACTCTTTAACTTGAGTGTTTGGATAGTATAGAAGCATGGTTGAAGCTTAACGATTCAAATTCAAGGAATGAATACGACGAAAGAACAAATTATTGTGCATTTAAAGGATCGTTGAAGGTATAATTAAAGGTAATTATTAATCAACTTTAATTACGCACTGTATAGGAGGCGTGGGGTTGACTTGGAGACTGTCAGCGTCAAACAAACGAAAACTCAGATGTGCCTTTTTTTCCTCCTACCTAAGCCTCAGAGGCTATTTCAGCGTAACCTTAACTAGTAGGTGAGCTCACGGGGCTCAAACCTGACGACGTTGCTAACACGAACCCTAGCAAGAGCTGTGCTTCGCAGAATCTACCACCGGATCGGAAACGCGACCCACTGAGAAGATCCGGCGAGAAACTCAGTGCTCAGTGTTAATTCACTCGTCGAGCCCTCCGTTGCAAGCAACGGGTTCGACGGGAACGATGACCAGTGCTTGAGGTACCTAGATGCACCGTTAGTGGATCGGGCGGATCCGAAATGACGTGTTTTGGGCGACGTCGACTGCTTTCCACTCCGTCCGCAGGATCGGGAATGGTGATGCAGATGTGCCACGAGCACTGGTAAGAAAAATTCGATTGAATTGAATGTACTTTAACTGACTTTGAGACAAAGAAGAGATTGTCGGGGCGCTGCAATTGCAAGAATTATTCTTCCGAGCGTCCGGGAGTACTGAGATTGCTAAGGCCAATGGTATATTTTTAAAAAGCTTTTGTATGAACAAGCTAGTTTGCCCTTTCTTTAAGTGTTAAATGTCTGTAAATGTATAAGTATTGTTACGCCGGTAAGAGTAACGCCATCTATGGCCGAATAGTCGAACGAATATCGAAGGATCTAGTAGCGCCTAGACCGCTCGAGAAGTACAACGCCATCTATTGTCAGATAGCGAAACACAATACTAGAGATGTGTGGAATATTCTCGATAATTCTAGGGATGTGGATCTATAAAAGCGATAACACGCAGTCAATTAGTAATCGGAACTACTCGAAGCGAAACAGCGAACGGATCACCTGAAGCGAAGCGGAAGAAGCGAATTGAGAATTTTAAAGTATTTGTGAAGTGTTTAAGTGTTCTAAGTGTTGAATACAGTTTTTACTTGTACTATGGTGGAATTTTATTTATCCCGAACCCCAGCGCGTAACAGTATGTTTATCAGTCTCGGGTTGCCATAGTACAGGAAATCCTGGTTTGAGTCAGGATGACCGTTTGTTACATTTCCCTGATTATTATTATTATAGCTATACCTGATATTTATGAGTTGTGCCTTGCTTATTATAGCTTTGATTCGGTCCTTAGCAATTTAATTAGCAAACTTCGATTAGTCATTATAAGAACACGGAATGCGCGTCCTACTATTTAAAGACGTACATAATTTTGAAGGCATTTACTCACTACATACTAAACAGCACTATAATTGCATAAAAATACTATCGGTGAAAGTAAATTAATCAGTCGATAATTACCCAGTTAATTCGCGTTTCAAAATCGATGAGTAACATTAAGAATTGGAGGACGAACTATTGTTTCTGCAAGAATAAGTAAATTTCACGTGAATAAAACATACGGAATTGCCTCTAATGTTTATAACCAGAATCGGTAGATACCATCCCGTCTATTTCTAGCGAACTACTTATTATGCAGTCATCGTATGGTATTAAATGATACAACTTTTACACGTTCCATTTTTAAGATTTACCTGTGTAGCCGCACACAGCCGACGCCTAACCCCGGACCGGGCCGGAGCCCAGTCGGGGACATTGAGACAGCGAGACAGGTTCGACGCAGAGCATATTACATCCTTCCCGCCGTCCCCGGATCGGCGGCCGTCTGCTGTGTGCGGCTGGAGTTTTTCATGAAGTTCAAATCCCACATGCCCCAACCGCAGCGCGGTCAGAGAACCTGTGATTTTCTCCTGTAAAAAAAACCCACGATAGGAAGTGTGCCCGCATATACTTTGAGTAGTCGCTAAAATCGTTCTAATGCAAATAAGTCGAACAAACAGAAACAATAGTTCGTCCTCCAATTCTTAATGTTACTCATCGATTTTGAAACGCGAATTAACTGGGTAATTGTCGACTGATTAATTTACTTTCACCGATAGTATTTTTATGCAATTATAGTGCTGTTTAGTATGTAGTGAGTTAATGCCTTCAAAATTATGTAGCTACGTCTTTAAATAGTAGGACGCGCATTCCGTGTTCTTATTATGACTAATCGAAGTTTGCTAATTAAATTGCTAAGGACCGAATCAAAGCTATAATAAGCAAGGCACAACTCATAAATATCAGGTATAGCTATAATAATAATAATCAGGGAAATGTAACAAACGGTCATCCTGACTCAAACTAGGATTTCCTGTACTATGGGAACCCGAGACTTATAAGCATACTGTTACGCGCTGGGGTTCGGGATAAATAAAATTCCACCATAGTACAAGTAAAAACTGTATTCAACACTTAGAACACCTAAACACTTCACAAATACTTTAAAATTCTCAATTCGCTTCCTCCGCTTCGCTTCAGGTGATCCGTTCGCTGTTTCGCTTCGAGCAATTCCGATTACTAACTGACTGCGTGTTATCGCTTTTATAGACCCACATCCCTAGAATTATCGAGAATATTCCACACATCTCTAGTATTGTATTCCGCTATCTGACAATAGATGGCGTTGTACTTCTCGAGCGGTCTAGGCGCTACTAGATCCTTCGATATTCGTTCAACTATTCGGTCATAGATGGCGTTACTCTTACCGGCGTAAGAATACTTCTACATTTATAGACATTCAACACTTAAAGAAAGAGCAAACTAGCTAGTTCGTGACACGATTGTTTGCGCGATGTGAGAATCGAACTCACGACCCTCGGCGCAGCAATTAGAGGCGCTAACCACTGCACTACTGAGTCAGTCAATCAGCTGTAGTTACGATTTAGAAACTTCGACTAGATGACATGTGAATTTGTTTTGGCGCCTTTGGCTTTCTTCTAGTTTGATAGAGAACACGTCAATAACACCAAGTGGCGTGCTGCCAAGATACCGCTTTGTTATTCTTTTGGGTATAATGAGCTGGTGACACGTATTATTATTATTATTTTGAACGCTATGTGAGTACTGCGATGAAGAGATATTTATAGGAAAACCAACAGTTAAACATATTTTGTTAAATAAAACTATTAGTACTGCATTAAGCCAATAAAATTTTTACAAAAGCTTTTTAAAAATATACCATTGGCCTTAGCAATCTCAGTACTCCCGGACGCTCGGAAGAATAATTCTTGCAAAACAGCGCCCCGACAATCCCTTCTTTGTCTCAAAGTCAGTTAAAGTACATTCAATTCAATCGAATTTTTCTTACAAGTGCACGTGGCACATCTGCATCACCATTCCCGATCCTGCGGACGGAGTGGAAAGCAGTCGACGTCGCCCAAAACACGTTATTTCAGATCCGCCCGATCCACTAACGGTGCATCTAGGTACCTCAAGCACTGGTCATCGTTCCCGTCGAACCCGTTGCTTGCAACGGAGGGCTCGACGAGTGAATTAACCCACAGACACAGCGCACTGAGTTTCTCGCCGGATCTTCTCAGTGGGTCGCGTTTCCGATCCAATGGTAGATTCTGCGAAGCACAGCTCTTGCTAGGGTTCGTGTTAGCAACGTCGTCAGGTTTGAGCCCCGTGAGGTCACCTACTAGTTAAGGTTACGCTGAAATAGCCTCTCAGGCTTAGGTAGGAGGAAAAAAAAGGCACATCTGAGTTTTCGTTTGTTTGACGCTGACAGTATCCAAGTCAACCCCACGCCTCCTATACAGTGCGTAATTAAAGTTGATTAATAATTACCTTTAATTATACCTTCAACGATCCTTTAAATGCACAATAATTTGTTCTTTCGACGTATTCATTCCTTGAATCTGAATCGTTAAGCTTCAACCATGCTTCTATACTATCTTCTTCGTCCGAAGACCCGTTTTCAGAGACCATTTCTACTGATTGCTTTTGAAACATACTTTAGATTCCCTTCTTCAGTGAGGGCGTGGTTTGCTATAACGCTTTAGTGTACAAATAAGGTTTAAATATTTCTAAGCAGAACATTGGTGCTTTCCGGGCTAGGGCTACAAGATGTCTTCTGTAGTGTTAGCGATATAACACAACGTAATAATCATTACAATGAATGCAGATGATGCTAGGGAGAGAAGAAGTAAATTATTAAGGACAAACATAATCATATAACATTATATATAGATTGATAACCAATTTCTATGGAGATGTGAATTCAAACACAAAATTAAACCCAATAAATGTTTATGAATTTCCAAGACTAACGTTGCTAAGAAAAACATTGTGATCATAAGGTATCTTATAGCATTAAATCCTTCCTTCGCTAGAAAGGTTAACAATGTGGAAGAATTCACATACATGAGATTTTTGAAAAGCTTTTGCAAGATAATGGACTTTTGGCCCGAAAGAGAAGAGAAGAATAGTAAAACGAGGATTTTCAGGCTTCGGTACATCCTGGTCTTGCAGTTCTGTTTCACTCTCGTCGCCGGCGTCCTTTACTTGACGAATAGCGTCGGGAAACAGACCTTCTACGACCTCGGCCACACTATCATAACTGTTCTCATGAACGTCGTCTCGGTCGTAAGTTTGTTATCTTACGTCAACATCATCATCATCATTCTCCTGCCCTTCTCCCAGTTACCTGGGGTCGGCGCAACATGTTTTCTCCTTTCATACTCTTCTATCATATACCATTTCTTCGCTCACTCCCCTCTTACCCATATCGTCTTTCACGCAATCCATACATTTCTTCTTAGGTCTACCATTTCCTCTATATCTTTCCACATTCATAGTTAACACTCTCTTACCAACCTCATTTTCATTTCGTCTCTTCATATGTCCATACCAACCCAAACGCGCACTTCTCAGCTTCTCTGACACAGGTGCCACTTTCAGACTTCTTCTAACATATTTATTCCGTATTCTATGTTATCTTACGTCAACAATCGGTGGTAAATTCAACTGGCACTTACTCCTGTAGCACGACACGAAGCCACATTTCCAGTGAGAACGACGCAGAATAATATTTTACTGGGAGAGTGACATGTTCGCGCACAACTAAATTTCACCCAAATAATTTTAAGTTTAGAAGAGAAAAAAATTCGCAATATGTTCGTTGGGCGTGCTAATGTTATTCTTCTAAAATTGATACAAAAGTACTTCCTTGGACTAATATCTGGGGTACTGAAACACACTTCCTATCGTGGGTTTTTTTTACAGGAGAAAATCACCGGTTCTCTAACCGCGCGGCGGGTGGGGCATGTGGGATTTGAACTTCACGAAAAACTCCAGCCGCACACAACCGACGCCTAACCCCGGACCGTACCGGAGCCCAGTCGGGGACATTGAGACAGCGAGACAGGGTCGACGCAGAGCATATTACATCCTTCCCGCCGTCCCCGGATCGGCGGCCGCCGGCTACACGACCACCGTTTCCCTCGGTCGACGGACCGGGAGCCCGCCTTGATGGCGCCGCGGTGCACCTTTCCTCGGAGCGGTCGGGGGAATATGGCCTACCATCACTTCCTATCGCGGGTATAGATGTTGGATTAAATGTACATATTATATATCAGGGAAATGGGGTTTTGGAACATCGTTTTTAGTGGTTAAGCTGTGCTCAGTGGGCATCATCGAGGTTAAGTAGCAGGACCAAGTAATGTTTATTTATCTATACTAATATTATCTACAGTAATATACTAATAATAATATTATAAAGAGGACGTGACTAGGAGATGTATGGAAATGGTAGTGCAAGGTAGAGGGGGAAGAGGTCGACCGAAGAAGACATGGATGGAGTGTGTGAATGACGATATGAGAGAGTGAGGAGTGAGTGTTGAGATGACGGCTGATAGAAGAGAATGGAAGAGAAAAATTAGCTGTGCCGACCCCACATAGTGGGATAAGGTGGAGAAAAAGAAGAATATTATAAAGAGGAAAGATTTGTTTGTTTGTTTGTATTGAATAGGCTCCAAAACTACTGAACCGATTTGAAAAATTATTTCACTATTTGGAAGCTACACTATTCCCGAGTGACATAGGCTATAATGTTTTTTGGGAAAAATTAGGGATTCTTACTAAAACTCCAATAATGTAACCCAAGGTGTAAAAAAATTACCTAAAATATTATTTACATCACGTGCCCTGCGAAAACTATTGATGATAGAATAAAATAATGTACTACGACTTTGTAGCACACATTATTATTTACAAAAAGCGTCGCGACAGCATATGTCTAACTATTATAGTTATGCCGCAATAAGTGTTCTTTTATTTAAAAAAATAAAATAACGTCAAATATCGTTGAAATTTTTGTTAAAGACCCGAGCGGAGCCGGAGCGGGCCGCTAGTTTATTTATAAACTAGTGGAACCCAGCCGCGCTCCCCTGTCACTATCCGCTGAATTTTCCTGTCAAGTATCATTTGACATGGGCCTTCTGTTCCCCCGCCATCTATTTTATTGAAACTAAGCTAGGTGGACGAGCTCACAGCCCACCTGGTGATAAGTTGTTACTGGAGCCCATAGATATCTACAACGTAAATGCGCCACGCACCTTGAGATATAAGTTTTAAGGTATCAAGTATAGTTACAACGGCTGCCCCACCCTTCAAACCGAAACGCATTACTGCTTCACGGCAAAAATAAAAATGTCTCTCTAATATTTGAAACTACACGCGCGCCACCTTTTGTATGTTGACGGTTCTATGATAGAAACATTTCTGCTGTTACGAGTCAGGATACCAATGACCGCCCAATTCGAGGCCGAGGTATTTTATTTGCACCCCCAACCCGATGCCAACGCCGGTAGTCAATGCTCTCTCCGACGCCCGTACAAAGAAAGGGTCTGGAATCTGTTGAATGCACCCTCGAGGCCCAATCTTCGAATCTTACGATGATAAATACGACAAATACTCCACCTACAGTGGCAATACGGGAAACCAGCCACGTCCCCTAGCCACGACTAACGTGTCATCGAAATAGGAGGGAATATACCTCTCCGTACTGGCTCACAATACGCCATGTAAATGAAGTTATTCGCTGTCATAGTGTGTTGGCATTACCATATACTCATAAACGCTGCTGCCAATCAGAAGTTGTGTTTTACCACTGATTATTCTCCGCAAAACAACAACCTGCCACTACCTACCACTGAGTATTCGCGTTTGAAGAAAAATGGATGATGACTTTTATGTAGAATTAATGCAGCTTACTTGCAACTAGAGATCTAAGTCTCAATTGTATTGGTACCAGTACCTAAAATAGGTACCTAGTCTTGCCGTAAATACTGAGACAAAGGAAAAAAATTATTCTATTGCAAATAACATTTATTACTTTTACAGTGTGTTAGTTTAATACATAAATTAAAAACAATTTAAAGTATAAAAAATTTATTCGAAGTGGTCTCCATTGACTGCAATACAGTCCTTTAAACGTTGAGGCCAGTTATCAATAGAAGCACGCACTCTTTCCATGGGAAAAATTTTCACTGCCAATTGTACGGATTGTTTTAGGGACTCCAAATTATCATGGCAAGCCGTACTCTCCAAAACTGACCATAAATCATAATCCAGTGGATTAAGATCGGGACTAGACGACGGCCAGTCTTCAGCTATGATGAAGTCCGAAACGTTCGTTTCCAACCAAGACTGCGTAGACCGAGCCTTATGACTTGGCGCCGTCTTGCTGGAAGGACCATTCTTGATTATTGAACATGGTGTTGTTAAGGGGTTTCACTACCTTCTCAAAAATGGTAAATTGATACACTTGTGCCGATGTTTTGATACCTTTTTCACAAAAGTATGGCTCACTCACTCCTTCATAGCTAATACCCCACCAAACCATCACTGAAGTCGGATAGTGCCCACGTTGCACTCGGTCGACTAATTGGGAAGCTTCCTTAGAGCTTTGAGCATAAATACAGTCATTTTGTTTGTAAAAATGTTGCTCAATTGTAAAAATTTTCTCATCCGTAAATAAAAAAATTCTATGACCTCCCTTTGCGTACCGCTTCAGTAGTTGTTTCGATTTTACCACCCTATTCTCTTTTAAATTATCAGTTAAGAAATGACCAGTAAGTCTCTTATAGGCTGCAAGTCCTAAGTCATATTTTAAAATACGCGACATGGTTCTAGGTGCTATCTTCATCTCCTGAGATAAAATATTTTGCTTTCGGACAGAATTTCTTCGAATTCTTTCCCTTACTGCTTTGACCACCTTTTTCGTACGAACACTACGTGGACGGCCAGATCTTTTTCTGTCACAAGCAGATGAGGTCTCATTGCACCTATTAATAGCCCGGTACACAAACCTTTTTCTAATACCAAGCGTATGGAGAGTTTTAAAAATTGCATTTGGCTCCATACCTACTTTGTGAAATGCAATCACAGCGATTCGGTTCTCTTTATCACCCCACTCCATTTTAATATCGCAAAATATTGTACAATGTATCACGTTCACTGCGTAACAGGCCGATATCGGCCTGCCGCGGTATTTCAGCTGGTGCGGACGAAGAAAACTTTGTCCCTCTCGCTTGTGCGAAATGATTATCTCAGGTGTTTGTAAAAATTCGACAGAGACAAATATATATTTCATCTTGCGGTCAAAATTGTAGGTGATCCCCATCAAATCATATCGGCAGGCTTTATCGGCCTCCAACGCACTGACGGTGAAAAACATCCGCTAAGTGCGGCAGTGGGCCTATTTCGGCCCGCCCTCCCAACAGACAGCTAGCGACCCGATATCGCACAGAGCGCGCGCCCCGCCATTTAGTGTTGTGCTATCTAACTGATCTGACGTAGCGTTCGATATAATAAACGATAGCAAGCAATAAAAGAAAAATACAAATTTTGGAAAATATTACTCTATTTTCTTCGCCCTGCAGTTATTGACAGTGATAGTGATAGTAGTGAAGAAATATTTTCCACTAAGAAAAATAGAAAGAAGTTGGAAACAAATTTGCACGGAAAACAAAGCACAAGCTGTAAGTTTTGTTTACTACCTACATATAAAAATCGGTAAAAAAACTTTTAAGTTAAACGGTTTTATTTTATGTGCACTGAAAACTACAAAATAAATAAATAGTTACTTACCTATCAACCTACGTAGGTGATCTCGGTCATTAATATCTCTGATGGTAGTGGTTGTCATAACATGAACCATGTCAGCGGCCGAAAGGCAGTTCATGAAAGAACACTAACACCAGGGTTTGCTTGGTAGGTAAACTAAGCAGCCCACACTATAACAAGTAGGTATTTTGACCTTCTAGTTCAGACATATTTTAGTACTAGGCAGAATAGCTTTTAGGCATATTAGACTAAAATAAAAACGTGGGGCCCATTATTATTTCTGTATTACTTTCTACTATACTAAGTGTAGATTGTATCGACTTATTATAATCGTCATCATCATCATCCTAGCGGTTTATCCTGGTCGCATCCGAAACCTCATAGCTCCGGAGTGCAGGGTCCGCTGAATCGACTTACTATAATCGTAACTGGAGGTTTTGACCATCAATAACCAGCCGTGGCAGCTTCACCAGCGAACGCCGAGCTCATAATCTACCAAAGTATAAGATATGCTCTGCCATAGGTATGATTTCAGAGGGGCCCCACGTTTTTATTTTAGTCTAATATTCCTAAAAGCTATTCTGCCTAGTACTAAAATATTTCTGAACTAGAAGGTCAAAATACCTACTTGTTATAGTGTGGGCTGCTTAGTTTACCTACCAAGCAAACCCTGGTGTTAGTGTTCTTTCATGAACTGCCTTTCGGCCGCTGACATGGTTCATGTTATGACAACCACTACCATCAGAGATATTAATGACCGAGATCACCTACGTAGGTTGATAGGTAAGTAACTATTTATTTATTTTGTAGTTTTCAGTGCACATAAAATAAAACCGTTTAACTTAAAAGTTTTTTTACCGATTTTTATTTTCTTGTTTTTAGTATTTAGTGAAATTGTCTACCGAATATTCCTCATTCTATTTAATTCATTCAGTGCATCATTATTACATGGTTTCTTACCTGATAATTTAGTACAATCTAATTCCTCAATACATAGATAGCCCTTCCAGAGACTTGACTCGACTTAGAGCCACGTATGCTTGTCCTTCCTCAAACAATTTTGAGCCCAAATATACTACTGCATGGTCGACGGTGCTGCCCTGCATTTTATGGACGGTGGATGCCCATGACAAAACTAAGGGCAACATCCTTCTTTCAGCCGTACCATAATTGAATTTTGCTGGAAACTGTATGGCTTTAGGGTAAATAACGTGCATGCCGTTACATTGCACGCCGGCAAATCCCGAAGTGAAAACGCTGTGGTCACCTTGATGCCATGAAGCCCGAATAATTCTAGCAACGTCATTAATACTAATGAATACATTTGGAATTTCAATTCTTTCAGGTTCACCGTTTTCAGGTATATCTGGCACACTAAATCGTATTAAGTCTTGTTCACTAATCTGGACATTTTCGTCAATGCGTATATCTCTATAAAGCGGGTTATTTCTAGTTAACCATCTTAAAGCGCTGTAGACTTTTTCGCGAGATATTGTGAATTCTCTTGTGATGTTCAAATTCTCCAAACGTTCTGTAACTACAACGATACCCACCTGGCTGGAAGATCTTGGAAGCATATTGGTAA